TCGACATTAAAATTTGATTCGAAAAGTTAAAATACACATATTCGGATTCAGCTCGTCGAGCTCTATCCAGCTATGTATAAATATCGAAAAATAAAACGTGCTCCTCTTTTGAATTTCCTTAACCTTAATTATCCAAGAAGAGTAACTTACTCTAAACTCATTCAAAATAATACTTTTCTTGATTTGTTCATCAGCCATTTTCAAGAATTTACTCATTTTATTATTGTTGTTTTTTTTCTTTTTCAACGATTGTTGTGTGTTATGCGGTAAATATGTATCTGTATCAACTAGTTTTAATCGTACCATTGCTGGCAGTCGTGCATCCGGTTCGATGGTACGATCGATGCAACGTTCTTGTATAAATGTTTTCATCGCCGCTGAACCACGATCAAAGGATGAACATATATGATTGATAATGTCGTCGTGTATTATTTTTCCCGACAGCAATTTTCGACAGCGCTCATTATCGGTGGAAAATATTTTTTCACCTTTTAATTTATCGATGATCGTCGATAAATCGTTGTTGTCATTAAATAAACGATTGGGTGAACACTCGACGTGCGAATCGATTGTGTTAGTAGTTGTTTCTAGTCCAGCGATTTCGTGGGTAATAGATGATAACAAGGAACGGAACGCGTACGATTGCACCCATATTTCAATTAAATGAGAATTGAATCGTCCAGATATACCACCTACAAAATTGAAAGAAAAACACGACATTTTTAACTTTAAATAAAAAAAAGAAGCACGAGTGATATTCCATCTATCTCCTTCTTGACAGTGGCGCAAAGAAAATCGAAACAAAATTTGACTTACCATGAGACTTGCCGTATTTGTTTATTGTGCACTCTATAGTTTGGTCGAGTGCGATGAACGAGAATGGTCTGTTGGATCGATTGACGGCGAACGAATGTTTGAGCCGTTGTTGTATATAATCGGAACTTGACTGAATGTCCATGATATGCTGAGCACATAAACGAGCATAGTTGCGGTGATTGGTCGAGAAGAATATTGGAGCCATTTGACACAACGACGCATTTCTACCTAAAAGAGAAAAACAAACAAAACTCACATACTTCATAAACGACTCCGAAGAAAACAAGAAAGCTGTACCTTCGAAATTTCCAATTCTAACTGACATATAAAATGTCATTAATGGTTCCAATAACTTTTTCAGAACAAAATACCAAAATTGAAATGTTGTATTTTGTTTAATTTTTTCTTGGGCCCAATCAGCGACGACTGTTGATAATTGTTGTTGTTCAATATCATTTAATAACTGTTTGAACCATTGTTTATGGGTTTTATCGACAACGTATTCTGATGGAGCCTGTTCTAATGTTGTTCTCAATGCATCAGTAATGGATACTCCCGATGAAGAAGTGTTGAAAAACGATTCCATGAATAACATGGATAAGGCTGTGTAAAGTAATTTACAACACCGTAACGACTTATTGAAATGGTGGACAGTCAGGATGGATCTTAATGTCGCTCCTTTGAATATTGCGCCTAATACATCATCCACACCGGAGCCATTCAATACATCCCATACAACTACCATATAGTTCTTCATAACATGAAAATCGCCGGCATAAATCATGATATTTTGAAATTCCAGTGGATTTTGTCGCTTTGCCTAAAAATAAAATTCCTTCATGAGAAATCTTTTACTCGACAAAAATGAAATATAAAATTTATACCTTTATACACATACGATAAATTTTCTCGTCAGCCACCAACACTACTTCTTTTTGAAATTTCGAGTCCAGTAACGATAATTTGGTAGATGTCAAACACATTTCGGCTGTTTCCAAGGAACTTGGATCATTATTTATTGGTGTACAAAACGATACGGAATGTATTGGTCGTTTTGTATGTTGTAGATACCGTGCACAATAACCGGACAGTAATGGCAAACAATATTGTTCTGACAGATCAATAAGTTTGTTTAAGTTGTTTTTGTTATCATATGCCAGTTTTGTAATTCCATACGCCAATAATACAGATGTGTACGATTGATCGACGTACGGTTGATACGACTGGCTATATCTGAATGTTGCTGTTGACGGAGGGGCAGTCGGTATCGATATTATCGTGTTGTTTGTGTTTAACATCAAAACGTCGGTACACAATTGATTGATACAGTCTAGAAAATACAAAAGTTATCACTATATAATTTGTGGAAAATAAACATAGAAAATTTGATTGTATCAATCAAAAAAACCTTGGAGAAAAAAAGATAATATAATAAGTGACTAACTTACCGCCAACATCGGATAATAATTCGTTGTTCTCAGATGTTTGTACCATAATTCGGTTGGCTATGTGAATGCTGTTTTCACCGTGCAAACTCTCCTTGTTCTGGTCAAAATTGTCCACGACCACCACGATGAAATTTTGTTGTCGTTGAGCACTTGGTGGTAATTGTGACGACGATGAGGATTTTCCTACGGCTTCAGCAACACGCTGATTCAGACGGACGATTGTTTTGTACGATGCCGAATGGCCGAAACGATTAATAACATTCAGCAATTGTGACGATCGAGTGTGACGATAAACTTCATTCGACAATAAATAATGCTTGGGCGAGGTATATTGATCATTTCGGCAATTCATTATATCGTAAACGATTGATGATATTTTCAAGGATTTTGATGATACTTTGTACATATCGTCGTCCAATAAATTGTAGTATTTATGTTCACGTGTGAATTGTTCAAATTGAATAAGCTTTTACAATTAAATTGTGCATTTTTAACTTGTTGCTCTTGTTGTTCAACTCGATGATGTTGATTGTGAATATAATTATCTTCACTGGACTTTATCAATGATAATCGACTTAAAGTTGCGATATCGTTCACGCATACATGTGTGCCTTGACGTTTGCTTAGTTGTGTGAAAAATAATCGATCGCCGTATTTTGACTCTAATCGGCCACGAATGGCACTTGTACGAACGATTGCTTCGGTTAATTGCTCATTTCGCTGTTGTAATAAATGGTGGTACTTGTTTTGCATCGTCGTAAGCGGTATTAATACATCTGTTTGTATTCTGTCCTCCAACCACCCACACAATTCGTCAAAAGCATTCGAATATAATGATGATTTTTGTTGGTCGTCCATTGGATACGAATCACTGTTGTCGATCAATGCTGGTTGATGAATACGACGTTGAGAACGACGACAAGTAGTTGCACACTAGAAATACCAAAAGAAATCAAACATCGTAGTCTGCTCAAGTAGTCTTCTTCATTAGTTTTTCTTCATTTACTGATTCGAGACTTGCTGATTTTCGTTGTGATCTCGCGCTGTTTCCGGTTGAAATTGATGAACGTTTAAATATGTGATAGCTACTCAGTCGAGTAAATAACATTTTTTCACTATTCATAGTGTCGATTGGTGTTGATGGTGATAACAATATTTCATCTTGTCCATAATCTAATTTTCTTCTACTTCCCACAATAGTCTAAAATAAAAAACAAATAACAGTTGTTGGCTTCTTTTTTTTCAGTTTTTTGTACATAGTACATACCTTTCTTTCTTCAATGTTTTTTCTTGTTTTTTCTGATGATGAAAACGGTGCTTGTGCTCTATCATAGACATTTGTTGCCGTTGTTCCACAATCATTACTATCTTCTTTATCCATGAGTGATGACATGGGTATTCTTTGTCCCATTTCCATAGATGATTCCTAGAACAAGAAAAAAGCATTAGCATAAACAAAGGTATTTCCCTTTTCCATCTGGGAAAGTTGAGAGAACGTCATGACTATTAAGGAAGACAGATAAAAAAAAACTTATTACGACGTACCTTTGCTGCTTCTAATGTAATTCTTTCTTTCGATTGAACGATCATTGGTTGTAATAGACATACTTTATCTGAATAACTTGTTAATTCTGATACATTTAACGGCGGAATTTCTTTCCTTGTTTCTTTACCACGAAGTAATATCGAATTGACATTTTGTTCTTCAAAATAATTTGAAAATAAATCAAAATCGTTGTCCACTGTAAACAGCTGAGTAGTTACATTTGTCTGCCAAGGAAAAAACAACGATAAGCATCAAACTTTATTAATAACAATAAAGAAAAATTATAATCATACCTCCGATGACGATAATGACGTTTGAATTTGTTGATCTAATAAAGCTGTTTGAAAAAGTTGAGACGATGAGCGTAATGCAACTTGCTGAACAGGTGACGAGGATAGCTGCTGTTTGTCTGCTTCAGTGGAATGTGATTGTTTCTAAAAATAGAACAAAAAAATGTTTTATTTGCTACCACAAAAACATTGAATGACAGTACCCTGGCAGATCTACGTCTGCTGAACGATGGAGACGATGCTCTCATAGAACAATTTTTGTTGATAACAATAGATGAGCTATTTGATGTTCTTGACAATGTAGATCGCGATGGCAAATGGTTAGTAAGATTTGATAATGGCATTCGTGTATTTATATTCTTTAACAATGTCCTTTCAACAGAATTACTCGATTTCCATGAGCGATGATAATATTTTGTATAGCAGGACCTGTGAACATTTCTGTATAATAAGGGTTGTCGTAATGGTTTATCATTTAAGGATTCATATGATTCTTTTAATTTTTTTTCAACATCAATACTGGAAACGAGGACATAATTCGATTTTGCTAATGAATCTTCCTTATCACATAAAGCACAATATCTTCTTTTTGACATTATTCATCGATAAAAATATCACGCTATATATTCGATTAAAATGATTCTAATAACATACTGTTCTGCATAGAAAAAATTAGATATTAAATGTATATTGTTATCCAAAATATAAATGAATAAATAAACAAAACAGACAAACAAGAAATAAGAAATACAAACAAAATTCATCATTATTTATTTAAAAGTAGGCTTAGACTAAAAATATACGGCCAAGAAACGTGCACAATTCTTTTAGCTTTGACAGAAGAAAATCCGAAAGAAAAATCTTTGTTACACTTAGAGATGCGCCGTAATGAAGTCGAATAGAACGAATACGTGTGTGAAGTATACGAAGGGACAGAAGGATAAATTTTCTCATTTTCGTTCCTTTCATTTCATTATTATATCTCATTACGAATAGTCGACTATTCATATAACTTAGTTCCGTTTGTTCTCATTTGGAAAGACAAACTATATTACCACTGATTTATGAGTGAGTATTGACGAAAGTAGTTCGACTAAACGTAATAATGAGCTCTTTATGTAAGAAACGTAAGAAGTTCCCTTCTCATTGGCTCTTACGTTTCTTCGTTCAAAATATATAAGAGAAAACTACTGTTACGTTCATTACGTTTGTTCTGTACCTTTAACCTCTTTTCTCTTTCTTTTCTGACGTGTATTCGTATATTCATTATTCGAATATTCTTTACTCGTTATAAATGAAACATAATTTGCTATAGTGGATAACGAATATTCTTTCATCCTTTTTTTCGAGGCTTACGTATTACGGCCTATCTCTAGTTACACTATCAAGCAAAAAAGAACATCCAAGAGAGCCCAAAATAACTTTTTCTTCCCTAAAACAGTCGAATTATCTTTAATGAAATTAAGAAGCACACAAGTTTTTTTTTGAAAAAAAAAATATAATAAATAATATTTGTTCCTGTTCTATTTCCGCCATTCCCTACAACCAAAGAAAAAAGGGCAGTAGACGTTATTTAGTGACGCCTCTACACTGTCATTTTTTCGAATACGACCAATTTTCAGATTTTTTTCTGAGCTCTCCTTAAAATTCCGATTCTGCCGGTAGATAGTGGTTCCGCTTAGATATCTTATTATGTGAAAATCTTCTTGTAAAATCCGTTTTACCTAAACTATAACTCAAAGTGCATTAGTGGACACCTCATCCGCTATTAAAACGATGAGTCATCGATTCAATGTCGACATACCATTGCTTAATTTTAGTCATGTCAGCCATTTTGAATTTCTGTTGGTTAGCGCATAGAACCAGTTAAACCCGATCCCGTTCGTATGATAGTCTTCAGTGTTGAAATAGTAAATTGACCACTACAGA